CACCCCCAACCCCGCCACCCCTGGGCTGGCTCCCCCGCTCGCCCCCTCTCCCACGCCTGCTTCCCAGCCCCGATCCCGTGCCGCTGCCTGCACCCATCCCAGCGCCTTCCGCGGTGTCTGGATCGGCTGCCAGCGCCCGGACCTGCTCCTGCACCCGTTCCCCGGTCCTGTCACCCAGTCCTGTGCTGGTTCCTGCTCCCATTCCCCACCCCTGTTTCCCCTTCCTGCACCCATTTCCCACACCCGGACCCCTTCCCCCTGCATTCTCCCATGCCTGCACCCAATTCCCGCACCCGGAGCCTTTCCTGCACCATTCCTGTGCTGTTTCCCGCGCCCATCCTGCCCCCAGACCCATTTCCCACCCTATTTCCCTGCCCGCTTCCCGTGCCCAGACCCCTTTCCCATTCCCTGCACCCGATTCCTGCACCCAGACTCCTTCCTGCACCCATTCCCGTGCCAGTTCCCGCGCTCTGCCCCGTTCCTGCACCCAGCCCCATTTCCCACACCATTCCCGTGCTGTTTCCCACCCCCAGTTCCGTTTCCCGCACCATTTCCATGCTGTTTCCCACCCCCAGCTCCCTTCCCGCACCCGTTTCCCACTCCCAAATCAATTTCCCTGCCTGTTTCCTGTGCCCAGACCCCTTTCCCTTTCCCTGCACCCAATTCCGGCACCCAAACTCCTTCCTGCACCCGTTCCCGTGCCAGTTCCCACACCCTGCCCCCTTCCCGCGCCCATTTCCCACCCCCAGACCCATTTTCCGCACCATTCCCATGCTGTTTCCCACCCCCAGACCCCTTCCCACACCCATTTCCCACCCCCAGTCCTGTTTCCCGCACCCTTTCCATGCTGTTTTCCATACCCAGCTCCCTTCCCACACCCATTTCCCACTCCCAGACCAATTTCCCTGCCTGTTTCCCGTGCCCAGACCCATTTCCCGTTCCCTGCACCCGATTCCTGCACCCAGCCTCCTTCCTGCACCCATTCCCGTGCCAGTTCTCGCACCCTGTCCCATTCCCGCACCCATTTCCCACCCCCATTTCCCTGCTTGTTTCCTGCACCTGGACCCATTTCCCGCACCAGGCCTCCTTTTCCCATTCCCGCTCCCATTTCCCGCCCCCATTCCCATTTCCCACCCCCATTCCCATGCCATTTCCCTCACCCATCCCCTCTCCCAGGCCGCAGCTCCCTTTGGGGACTCCCACCCCTTGGGGACCCCCACCCTCGGGGCCACCCCGTACCTCGGCGGGAG